TAATAATAATAGTAATGATAATGATAATAATAATAATAATAATAATAATAATAATAATAATAATGATTACGATAGTGGTAATAATAATATAAAGCTGTTGGATGTTGTTGTTGTTGTTGTTTTCAAATCCCTTTAGCTGCGAGCATTTCGCCCTTGGCAGCGCAATGCCTCCCTCAAGTAAGCACATGTCCTTGTCATCTGGTCAACGCCAGACAAAGTTGTTGGATAAAACTTGACAGACAAATGTCTTGAGTATGTGCATTAAATCACAGATTATGACGCTGCAGTAATAAAAATTATCAAAATTTTGGGCGTTGTAAATTTGAACATCAGGCCAACCTTATTCCTTTCCTCTCCCTCTCTCATTCTGTACCAGTCTTATTTGTCCCTCCTAGCAGCGACTAGCAAACAGTAAACCAGAAACTTTCCCCAACTGGGTCAGTGCTACTGACTGAAGTTGTCTTTAGGCCTTTCCCAAAAGGGGGGACATTAACTTTTTATTATGCACTGTAGAATTGTAAATGGGCTGATTTATCAATGTCATGCTCATGCCGGAACAACATAGGGGGATTTGCTGCTTTTTCTTTCCTCCTTTTTCTTTCCTCATCCTTACTATTCGTCATTTTCCCTCTTCTTCTTTTGTGTGTTTGTCACTCTCTTGTGACCCGCTATTTCCGGGGTGCCTTGATAGTCGAAGCCGACTTTGTGCTGTTGAAGCCAGAGAGGTGAGCATAGTAAGCCTGATTCCCTGTAAGGACTTCTCTGTTGACATCCACCCCTTGGCGCTCATATGACCTTATGCAGTTGCGAACGCCGTTGTAAAACCTCTGCTAAAACTAACTAAACCAGAAACTTCTCTGTGATGTCAAGCGTTTGATTTGTGTTTGGGAGGTTTTCTGTAAAGTGTTGTTTTGTTTTTTATATCTCAGGCGGGAACAGATGAAAACATCCTCCTCAAATCTCGGGAGATGTTTGCCTACAGCTGGAGAACTCATACTGCTCCACAGGTAACTGTTTTTGTCTTCTTGTGTGGTCAGGTTGTGTCGTCTTGTGTGTCAGGTTGTGTCGTCTTGTGTGGTGTTGTGTCTTTTTGTGTGTCAGGTTGTGTCGTCTTGTGTGTCAGGTTGTGTCTTCTTGTGTGTCAGGTTGTGTCTTCTTGTGTGTCAGGTTGTGTCGTCTTGTGTGGTGTTGTGTCTTCTTGTGTGTCAGGTTGTGTCGTCTTGTGTGTCAGGTTGTGTCGTCTTGTGTGTCAGGTTGTGTCGTCTTGTGTGTCAGGTTGTGTCTTCTTGTGTGTCAGGTTGTGTCTTCTTGTGTGTCAGGTTGTGTTGTCTTGTGTGTCAGGTTGTGTCGTCTTGTGTCAGGTTGTGTTGTCTTGTGTCAGGTTGTGTCGTCTTGTGTGGTGTTGTGTCTTCTTTTGTGTCAGGTTGTGTCGTCTTGTGTGTCAGGTTGTGTCTTCTTGTGTGTCAGGTTGTGTCTTCTTGTGTGTCAGGTTGTGTTGTCTTGTGTGTCAGGTTGTGTCGTCTTGTGTCAGGTTGTGTTGTCTTGTGTGTCAGGTTGTGTCTTCTTGTGTCAGGTTGTGTCGTCTTGTGTCAGGTTGTGTCGTCTTG